CAGGCTCCCTGCTGAGCAGGGAGCCCGATGCGGGGCTCGATCCCAGGACCCTGGGATCACGACCTGAGCCGAAGGCAGCCGCTTAACTGACTGAGCCACCCAGGCACCTCTGCAAAGATGGTTCTAAAGCAAAAGAATATTAAAGATGCCAAAGATACTGTAAACTTCATGTTGGATGAGATAGAGACATGCCCTGAAATGAGCAGCCCATCTTCAGCCTTTTTTTTGAATTTTTACTTTTATAACTAAAACTTGGATTTCTCTCCATAAAAAGGAGTGGGTGGTCATCTTCCTTCTTGGACATTTAGACAAAGATTTTATCCTAAATTTGTGGTATGATTTGATTTCCTAACACAAAAGGGGTTTGGAAATCGGTCTTTTAATTGAAGGGAAAAGGAATACATTTAAGTGGAAGTGGTTCAAAGTTTAAAGCATGATTAGTTTTGTGTTTGGAAAATAAAAACATCACATTTTAGGTTTAAATATCTAATCAGTTTAAATAGGGAAAATTCTAGATTAAGGAAAGAAAAGTAAGTTTTAGTATGAATACTTCTGTGTTCCAGGGTCCTCTAAAAAGGATGAATAAGTATTTATCTTAGATAGGGTGAAGGTTGTGAGGATGTGTATTACAGTAGCTTCAGCTGCTCTTGAAATTATTTGTGTAATTTCTACAAGCAGATAGTCTAGTGCAGTTATTTGGAGGTCATTATGAAAGGCCAGATAAATATTTATCAAAAGCCAGAAAAACTAAAATGCAAGGCCGTAAGACAGCCTTGTTTTCTAACTTCAGTACATTTCAAATGCTGATGCAACAGCCTCAGCATCTAAGTGAGAAAAATGTGGATATGCTTAATAACTGGAAAAAGTATTGAAAAAGTATCAAATATTCATAGAATGTACAGTAAAATAAATATACTTTTTTTTTTAAAGATTTTATTTATTTATTTGACAGAGAGAGACATAGCGAGAGCAGGAACATAAGCAGGGGGAATGGGAGAGGGAGAAGCAGGCTTCCTGCTGAGCAGAGCCCAATGCGGGCCTCGATCCCAGGATCCTGGGACCATGACCTGAGCCGAAGGCAGACGCTTAACGACTGAGCCACCCAGGCGCCCCAAAATAAATATATTCTATTATAATTTTTTTCTAATCCTCAAGATACAAATAAGCCTATGCAGGATCAGATTTTCTTTCCTTGTTTTGTGTCCTCAATTGGCTGGCTTCAGCGACTATTGGACATTTTCTGGGTATGTAGCAGCATATGATACAGTCACTGTTCCCTGATATTATAAATCTTTCTGGAGAAATACGATGGTCACACATTATGGGGGCACCTGGCTGGTTCATGGTAGAGAATGCAAATCTTGATCTCTGGGTCATGAGTTTAGCCCCACATTGGGCATAGAGTTTACTTTTTTTTTTTTTAAGATTTTATTTATTTGTCAGAGAGAGAGAGCGAACACGAGCGGGGGGAGTGGCAGGCAGAGGGAGAAGCAGGCTCCCCAACAAGCAAGGAGCCTGATGTGGGACTCGATTCCAGGATCCTGGGATCATGACCTGAGCCAAAGGCAGATGCTTAACTGATTGAGCCACCCAGGCATCCCCTAGAGTTTGCTTAAAAATAAAAAAGATTTTAACACATTAAATAATTGTACATGAAATAGGGGCACTGGGTGGCTCAGTCAGTTGGGCGGCTGCCTCTTGGTTTCAGCTCAGGTTGTGATCTCATGGTTGTGGGATTGAGCCCCGCATGGGGTTCCATGCTCAGATTCCCTCTCCCTCTCCCTCCCACTCTGCCCCTCCTCCTGCACGTGCAAGTTCTCTCTCTCTCTCAAATAAATAAAATCTTTTAAAAAAAGATTTTATTTATTTATTTGACAGAGAGAGACACAGCGAGAGAGGGAACACAAGCAGGGGGAGTGGGAGAAGGAGAAGCAGGCTTCCCGAGGAGCAGGGAGCCCGATGCGGGGCTGGATCCCAGGAACCTGAGATCATGACCTGAGCCGAAGGCAGATGCTTCACCGACTGAGCCACCCAGGCACCCCTCAAGTAAATAAAATCTTAAAAAAATTAATTGTAGGGGCATCTGGGTGGCTCAGTTGGTTAAGCATCTGCCTTCAGCTGAGGTCATGATTAGGGTCCTGGGATTGAGCTCCGAGAGTGGAGTGTCCAGTGTCGGGTTCCCTGCTTAGCAGGGAGCCTGCTTCTCCCTCTCCCCGCCTCCCACCCCCTCTCCCCGCCTCCCACCCCTCTCCCCCCTGCTTGTGTCCCCTTTCTCACTCTGTCAAATAAATAAATAAAATCTTAAAAAAATAATTGTACATGAGGTAATAAGAGACAAATAACGTGCTTTATTTTATTTATTTATTTTTTAATGCTTTTTAGTTTTTTTTTTTAAGATTTTATTTATTTATTTGACAGAGAGAGACACAGAGAGAGAGGGAACACAAGCAGGGGGAGTGGGAGAGGGAGAAGCCGGCCTCCTGCTGATCAGGGAGCCCGATGCGGGGCTCCATCCCAGGACCCTGGGATCATGACCTGAGCGGGAGGCAGATGTTTAACGACTGAGCCACCCAGGAGCCCCTAACTTGCACTTTAAATTTATTTATTTATTTATTTATTTATTTATTTATTTATTTATTTATTTATTTCAGAGAGAGTGTGTTCACGCACAAGCACACAGTAGGGAGGGGCAGAGGGAGAGGGAGAATCTTAGCAGACTCTGAGCTGAGCACGGAGTCCATTCTCACCACCCTGGGATCATGACCTGAGCAGAAATCAAGAGTCAGATGCTTAACCGAATGAGCCACCCAGGCCCCCCTAACTTGGGCTCTTATCACTTCTTTGACAACATCAGATAACCATGTTATGCTCATCATACTGAAATAGAGAGTTTTTAGAAGTTAATACTGAGGGGTGCCTGGGTGGCTCAGTCAGTTAAGCTTCAGACGCTTGATTTCGGCTCAGGTCATGATCTTGGGTTGAGAGATCAAGCCCCGCCTGGGACTCCACGCTCAGCACAGAGTCTGCTTGTCCCTCTCCCTCTCCATGCTTGCACATACACTCTCTCTCTCTCAAAATAAATAAAATCTTTTTTAAAAAGTTAATACTGATATAGCATTTATACAATGTTATACACCCCAAAAAAGGATTTAATAAATGCTTGTTGATTGATTAGTAACTTTCATAAGTCATAGTATTTCTGAATAAGTGGTAACGGGTGATTCAGATCTTTCTGGAGATTACAAAGGGTAAATTATATACTTTGATCACATATTAGCATATAAGTGGAAAAAATCACTTGCTTCTACATTCTGGCTATGAACAGTGGGAATCACACACATTAAGAAGAAAGATGGGGGTGCCTGGTTGGCTCAGTCGTTAAGGTCTGCCTTCAGCTCAGGTCGTGATCCCAGGGTCCTGGGATTGAGCCCCACCATCGGGCTCCCTGCTCAGTGGGGAGTCTGCTTCTCCCTCTCCCACTCCCCCTGCTTGTATTCCCTCTCTCGCCGTGTCTCTGTCAAATAAATAAATAGATAAATAATCTTTAAAAAAATATTTAAAAAAGAAGAAAAATGAAACAAAAGGGAAGAAAAATATAAAAAACAGTGATCTTTTTCCTTTAACATTGTATAACTCAGGACTCAAAATTATACAAATAGTTCCACCTATTTCATGAGTAAGTTTAAACAAAGAATGACTACATTTCCACTAATATAAAATAACATACTGTAGAAAGGCTTTTTCTTAAAATTGTTTTCAACTTGTGTCCTTTAGGATAGAAATGAAACCTGTCATTAAATGTAGTTTTCCTAAAATAGGAAATTTGTGATACAAATTAATAGAGTATGGGCGCCTGGGTGGCTCAGTTGGTTAAGCGACTGCCTTCAGCTCAGGTCATGATCCTGGAGTCCCGGAATCGAGTCCTGCATCAGGCTCCCTGCTCAGCAGGGAGTCTGCTTCTCCTTCTGACCTTCCCCCCCTTCCTGCTCTCTCTCTCTCTCTCATTCTCTCTCTCAAATAAATAAATAAAATCTTTAAAAAAAATAGGGTTTTTAAATTTTATTTATTTATTTATTTATTTTAAAGATTCTATTTATTTGACAGAGACACAGCGAGAGGGAACACAAGCAGGGGGAGTGGGAGAGGGAGAAGCAGGCTTCCCACGGAGCAGGGAGCCCGATGTGGGGCTCGATCCCAGGACCCTGGGATCACGACCCGAGCTGAAGGCAGACCTTAACGACTGAGCCACCCAGGCGCCCCCAAATTGATAGGGTTTTAAAGCTGAAAAGAAACAGGGATAGCTAGTCCAAACTTATCTTACAGATGAGGAACTGAGGCCTAGAGAAATGAAATGATTTGTTCGAAGTCACAGAACCATAGAAGTAGAATCAATAGCAGATCTAAAACCAAAGTGTTAGGGGCACCTGGCTGGCTCAGTCTGTAGAGCATGTGACTCTTGATCTTGGGGTTCTGAGTTTGAGCCCCATGTTGGGTGTAGAGATTACTTAAAACAAAACAACCAAAGCTTTAGGAACACTACATCTAATTGTTTCATTTAACAATTTAGATGATTTACTGACATAAGAAGATACTCTGTGGATGTTGAATATTGCCATTCTGCATGGGTTAAAAAATAAAAGGTATTCCTTGAATTGATCCAATGACTTGATAACTTGATATGGTTTTCTTACTATATAGAATTAACCAAATCCTAAAAATGTAGAACTACTGAAAAACTCCACATTTAAATTCTTCCATTACCCACTTTGATTCTTTTAACCACTGTAGTTTCAATACTTCTCTCTTTTTTTTTTCAAACAAAAGATCTCATATTTATTACTGAGCCAACCTACTGGTGCAGAAGCATAGTAACAGAGAAGAATCATTTTCCCAATCCAACCTGTCTATTATTCAGGTAGTAGTGATGTTTGCAGAGTGATATGTTACGAGCAAGTGACTTTCATGCAACATAAATATGTGTGCCAACTCAATGTGATTTCTTAGAGATCCAGCTTAGTTCTTCTCCAATGTGTCCTCTTAGAGTTGTACCAGATTTTATTACCGGTTTTCATCTGAATCCACTGGGGAATAGGATGATTCTGCTTTTGTTTCTTGGCCAAGAATTGCTTGATCCAGAAAGTCTTGTGAGAAGACATGGTAAGGAACAGTCAACCACACACACACCACAGTGGTGGAGAAAAGGAGAGAGCTCAAATAATTTTCTTCCAGGGGTGCCTGGCTGGCTGAGTAAGAGGTACATGCAAATCTTGATCTTGGGGTCATGAGTTTGAGCCCAACGTTGGGTATAGAGATTACTTAAATAAATAAAACTTAAAAAAAAATAATTTTCTTCCAATGGTCAGTCTTGTAATTTCCTTTGTGTCTGTGTACCATTGTTACCCATGGCTAAGTTCAGGTGCTCCAGACCCTTATGTTGATCCCCTTGAATCTTTGTATTATTTAATGGTATGTCCAGTGGTTTGATTTGTTTCTGTAATTAAAAAAAATACTTAGCTATTCTCCTTCATAATTCTTATTTGTGAATCATGTCCTGGTTTTGTAAAAATGCACTGACATTATAGTAGTCTTACACTGCTATTGCCTGTTATTTAGGTACTTTATCTGTTGAAAGTAACACATATTATATTACTCTATATAGGTTAGATTATGCTCAATAAATATCCTATAACTTCTGTAACTTTAAAAAAATTTTTTTAAAGATTTTATTTTATTTTTCAAAAATTTTTATTTAAGTAATCTCTACACCCAATGTGGGGCTTGAACTCACAATCCAGAGATCAAGAGTCACATGCTCTACTGACTGAGCTAGCCAGGCGCCCCTTGTCTACCTTTTCTTTTTTCTTTTTGAGATTTATTTATTTATTTGAGAGAGAGAAAGAGTGCAGGGTGAAGAGAGGCAGAGGGAGGGGGGGACATGGGGCTTGATCTCACGACCCTAAGATCATGACCTAAACTGAAATCAGGGGTCAGATGCTCAACTGACTGAGCCACCCAAGCAGCCCCCTGTCTGCCTTTTTTAATACTTTCTTAGGATACAGTCCTAGAATTTCATTGATATTCTTAGAATAATATTTGTGAAGAATTTGAGCTAATTTATCCTATAAAAACATAAATCTTTTTTTTAAGATTTTAAAAATTCATTTGAGAAAGAGAGAGAGAGCATGCGGGTGCACACAGAGGGAGGGGCAGAGGGAGAGACTCTCAAGTAGACTCTCTGCTGAATGCAGAGCCCAACCTCAGGTCATGATCCTGGGGCCCTGGGATCGAGCCCTGCGTCAGTTCCCTGCTCAGTGCGGAGTCTGCTTCCCCTCTCCCTCTGCTGGTCCCCCAGCTTGTGCTCTCTCCCTCTCTCTCTCAAGTAAAATAAATAAAATGTTAAAAAAAAAAAAAAAGAGGGGGCACTTGGGTGGCTCAGTCGTTAAGCATCTGCCTTCAGCTCAGGTCAGGATCCCAGGGTCCTGGGATCGAGCCCCGCATCAGGCTCCTTGCTCCGCAGGAATCCTGCTTTTCCCTCTCCCACTCCCCCCTGCTTGTGTTCCCTCTCTCGCTGTGTCTCTCTCTGTCAAATAAATAAATAAAATATTAAAAAAACAAAAAAGAGTTGGGTGCTTAACCAACTGAGCCACCCGGGCGCCCCCAAAAGCATAAATCTTAAAGTCAATTATTTTCAGATTGTAATCATGTAAACTATAAATAAATATAAATTCAGATTCTAATCCTATAAAATACACATTTATATAAATATAAATGTATTGAAAATATGAACAAATTTCAGGGGCTGACCTGATGTTATCTATGAAAAAAATTTCCTTAGCAAGTCAACTGAAAACATGAATAAGATTCCAAGAAACATTTTTCTTTTATTTTTTTAACTTTTAAAATTTTTTTCAGAGAGGGGAGGAAAGGTAGAGGGAAAGGGAGAGAGAGAATCTTAAGCAGGTTCCATGCAGCATGGAGCCTGACACCGGGCTAGATCTCACAATCCTGAAATTATGACCTGAGCCAAAATCAAGAGTTGGGCCACACAGGTGCCCATCATTTTTATTTTAAGTGGGCCAATATTTCATGCTCTTTTGTAGACTCATTATTAAGATTGGGACGCCTGGGTAGCTCAGTCAGTTGAGCGTCTGTCTTTGGCTCGGGTCATGATCCCGGGGTCCTGGTATCGAGCCCCGCATCAGGCTCCTTGCTCAGCAGGGACCCTGCTTCTCCCTCTGCCTGCTGCTCCCCCTGCTTGTGCTTTCTCTCTCTCTTAATCTCTCTCTTTCTCTGAGAAATACATAAATAAAATCTTAAAAAAAAGACTCATATAAGTTTAACTCATTATTACTTTGACACGCTGGTTTCTTTAAATAAAATGTTTATATATCCCATGAGTCAGATCTCATTGACTCATTGATTCAGGTGCTCTTTCCCTCGACTTAATCTAAGTTAGTGAATGTTTGCCATGTCACTTCCTGCTTTCTTAAACTTAGGTCTGAAGAATTAATACTGTCTATGTAATAACATGACTTAAATAGTGATCCTAATTTGAAAAAGCCTATTTTAGTGTAGAACGAAACATGAAAGTATCCTTTATATAGCCAGAGGCAAGATGACGGTGTTCATGAAGATCAGTTGTTATCCTTTTTTTAAAAAAAATTTTATTTATTTGACAGAGAGAGACAGTAAGAGAGGGAACACAAGCAGGGGGACTGGCAGAGGGAGAAGCAGGCTTCCCACTGAGCAGGGAGCCGGAGGCAGGGCTCAATCCCAGGACCCTGGGATCATGACCTGAGCCAAAGGCAGGCGCTTAAAGACTGAGCCACCCAGGCGCCTGATCAGTTGTTATCCTAACTACCCTATTCCTAGGTCAAATGGAAGATTTATAGATTGTAGGAATTCCAAGATCTCAGCACCATCCCTATTCACCCTGTCATAAGGGCAGTGCAATTCCAATTCAGTTCAACAGTCTTTATTGAGGACCTGTTATACACTAGTTACCGTGCTTATTGCTGGGGATAGAGTGATAAATAAGAGATCATCCCTCTTTTTAATCTAGTAGGGGAGAAAACAAAAGCAAGTAATCAAAATGCAGCTCGACAAGCACAATATTAGAAGCTTATAAAAGGCATAGAAGTAATGCTAAGAAGGGGCACCTGGCTGGCTCAGTCTGTAGAGCCTGTGACTCTTGATCTCCAGGGTTGTGAGTTCAAGCCCCATGTTGGGCCTAGAGCTTATTAAAAAAAAAAAAAAAGTAATGAAAAAAGGGGATAATTAATTCTGTTTGGCTGTGGGATCAGGGGAATCTTCTTAGAGGTAGTACTATTTGAGCTGGGTGTTGTGTGGTGAACAAAAATTAAGGAGATAGTCAGAAGGGCAAAGTGCATTCTTGGCAAATAAAACAGCAAGCACAAAGGCATGTGTTTTTGAGGAAGTGTAACTTCTTTGGTATCACAGAGCTGTGCAAGAGCAGAGACTGATTGTTTTGCTTATTGTATCCACAGTAGCCTAGTAATAGAGCCTGGAGCACAATAGAAAATAATTATTTGTTGAACAGAAGAATGAGTGAGAGGGAGCCTTGTGTCATTCTAAGCAGTTTTAACTTAACCTTGTACCTCCCATAGGCTGAAGCTAACTGGAAGCCAGTGGACAAGGGAGTCTTGAAAATTAAGTTTGTAGGAGTCAGTCCCTGAACAAAGAAGAAAAGGGAAGGTAATGAACTGAGAGCAAATAGGCAAATGATCCACACCCTTATTATTACCTACTAGCCTTGTATGACATGGCACATGCCTACCTCTCTAACTTCATCTTCCATGCTCCAATAACCTGGCCTCCTTTTCTTTTTTCTTTCTTTTTTTTCTTTCTCATTTCAACTGGAAAAAAATATTTGTAAATTATTATTATTATTTTTAAAGATTTTATTTATTTATTTGACAGAGAGAGACACAGCAAGAGAGGGAACACAAGCAGGAGGAGTAGGAGAGGGAGAAGCAGGCTTCCCGTGGAGCCAGGAGCCCGATGTGGGGCTCGATCCCAGGACGCTGGGATCATGACCTGAGCCAAAGGCAGATGCTTAACGACTGAGCCACCCAGGCGCCCCTAAATTATTTTTTTTAATCTAGATAGAGTTGACACATAATGTTACATTAGTTTCAGGTGTAAAAACTGGCCTTCTTTTTATTCCTCAAATATACCAAGATTGTTCTAACCAGTTCAAGGCCTTTGCTTGTTTCCTAAGCCAAAAGACTCTTCTACCAGATCTCTGCCTAGCAGAGATCAAGTGATACCTCGGGGGTCAAGTGGTACCTACCCAAATAGGGCTTATCTGATAAGTCCTTTTAAGGTAGAACATCTGTCCCTCTCATACTGTCTCTTTCTAAAAGGTAATGTGGTGATCACTTGGTGATCCCCAATCATCTATACCCTTTGAGAATCCCTTCTTGAGTGTGGGTCAAAACTGTGACTTGCTTCTAACCAACTAAATATGGAAAAGGTGACGGGATGCCACTCCTATGATTATATAAAATTCTGTCTTAACATACTGGAGTAAGAGAGACTCTCTCTGTTCTTTGACTAAGCTACTAGGTTATGAGAATACCTATGGAGAGGGTCACATGGCAAGGAACTTTAGGAGCCTCTAGGAACTGAGAACAGACCCTGGCACCTGAATGAGCTTACAAGGAGATTCTTCCTCAGTCAGCCCTCCAGATGAGAGTGCCACCTGGCTGACACCTTGATTGCAACCTTGTGAGAACCTGAGCAGAGGACCCTGCTAAACCATGTCTGGACTCCTGATGTATGGAAACTGTGAGATAGTAAATATGGGTGGTTTTGAGCTGCTAAGTGTTGGTAATTTGTTAAACAGCATCAAAAATGAATACAGGTAAATATTATGAGAGGATGAGAGGAAGGAACTTGGCTGTCTTGTTCCTTGCTGTATCAATATACCTAGGATCGTGACTGGCACATAGTTCAATACACATCTGTTGGTTATATAAATGAATAAAAAGATGGATGGAGGAATGGATGAATTTCAGCTGGATGGGGGGAGAGGACAGGACTGGATTCTAGGAACATGGCTAGTGGCCATAATGTAAGGAATACTACTTTCAGAGTTGGGCAAGGGGCAGGGAATCTATTGAGCAGGTATATATGTGGCTCAAAGACTTCTGGGAGCAGTGATATCTGATAATCTTGCTTTAAGATTTCCTTTACT